TTAATTATATTGAGAAAATTCCCTTCTATTCCTGTTTTATTGAGAGTTTTTATCATGAATGGGTGTTGGACTTTGTCAAATGCCTTTTCTGCATTGATTGATAAGATCATGTGGTTCTTGTCTTTTGTTTTATTTATGTGAATGGACTACATTGATTCTTTTTCTAATGTTGAACCATCCCTGCATACCTGGTAGAAATCCCATGGATCATGGTGAATTATTTTTTTCTCTGAAAGTTTGGTAGAATTCTCCAGTGAAGCCATCCGGGCCAGGGCTTTTTTTGTTGTTGTTGTTGGGAGTTGTTTTACTTACCATTTCAATCTCTTCTTTTGTTATGGGTTTATTTAGTTGTTCTACCTCTGTGTTAGTTTTGGTAGGTAGTGAGTTTCTTGAAATTTGTCCATTTTGTCTAGGTTTTCAACTTTGTTAGAGTACAGTTTTTCATAGTATTCTGTTATGATCCTTTTAATTTCAGTTGGGTCTGTTGTGAGATCACCCATCTCATTTCTTATACGGGATATTTGCTTCCTCTCTTGTTTTTCTTTTGTCAGTTTGGCCAGTGGTTTATCAATTTTATTGATCTCTTCAAAGAAACAGCTTTTGGTCTTGTTAACTCTTTCAGTTGTTTTTCTGTTCTCTATTCTGTTTAATTCTACTCTGATTCTTATTATTTCTTTTCTTCTGGGGCCTGAGGGCTTCTTTTGCTGCTTTGTTTCTACTTGTTCCATTTGTAGGGTTAACGTTTTGATTATGGCCCTTTCTTCTTTTTGGATGCGTGCATTTATTGTTGTAAAGTGACCTCTGAGCACTGCTTTTGCTGTGTCCCTAAGGTTCTGGCAGGATGTGTTTTCATTCTCATTTGATTCTATGAATTTCTTTATTCCATCCTTGATTTCTTCTGTAACCCAGTAGTTTTTGAGCAAGGTGTTGTTCTGTTTCCATGTGTTTAATTTTTTTTCCTTTCTTTTTCTGTTGTTGATTTCTACTTTAAGGGCTTTATGGTCAGAAAAGATGCTTTGGATTTTGTTAAGGCTTGCTTTATGGCCTAATATGTGGTCTCTTCTGGAGAATGTTCCATGTGCACTGGAAAAGAAAGTGTACTTGGCTGCTGTTGGGTGGAGTGTTCGGTATACGTGTATGAGATCAGGTTGGTTGAATGTAGCATTTAGCTCTTCCGTGCCTTTGTTGAGCTTCTTTCTGGATGGTCTGTCCTTCACTGAAAGTGGTGTGTTGAAGTCTCCTACTACTATAGTGGAGCTATCTGTCTCTCTTTTCAGTGCTGTTAGAGTTTGTTTATGTATTTTGGAGCCCTGTCGTTGGGTGCGTAAATATTTATTATAGTTAAGTTCTCCTGGTGTATTGACCCTTTAATCATTGTATAGTGTCCTTCCTTATCCTTTGTGGTGGATTTTACTTTAGAGTCTGTTTTGTCAGAGAGTAGTATTGCCACTTTTGCTCTTTTTTGAGTGTTGTTTGCTTGATATATTTTTTTCCATCGTTTGAGTTTTAGTTTGTTTGTGTCTTTAAGGTGTGTCACTTGTAGGCAGGATATAGATGGATGATGTTTTTTTATCCAATCTGCCACTCCCTATCTCTTTATTGGTGCATTTAGTCCATTTACGTTCAGCGTAATTATTGATAGGTACGAGTTTAGTGCTGTCATTTTGATGTCTTTTTTGTGTTGTTGACAGTTTCTTTGTTCCACTTAATTTCCTGTGCTGAGTCATTTTTCTTTATGTATTGTCTTTTCATCTTTTTCATTGTTGTTGATTTTGTGTTTGCTGAGTCTTTATATTTTTCTAGTTTTTTATTTTGACTTGTATATTGTTAGTTTCCTTTG